CGTGCAAGCTTATACTTCACAGTGCCCTCAAAGTCAGCTTCCCAAGGATGTCTGTGCATCACGAAACTTTCCATTTCCGGTGCCGGAATGCGCGGGAAGATACCCATCTTGAGAATCACTTTTTCGGGCGACTGGGACGCTACCGATTTAATCGGGCTGATTTTATCACACGTTAGGTCAGCTATTACCTGCCATGATCAAATCAGCTCAGCGTGGAATGAGCTCACTTTCCATCCACACTGCAAAATGAGCGGTAAACGGGATTTCCCGACAACGTGTCGTAGTCTTCATACGTTTTCAGCGTCCCTGCACTATCCTGTATCTCTACTTTCTCTTCCTCGATGACAAAGTTCGCTGCCACGAAACTTCCGGATACCTTGCGGCAGTTGGCGCAGTGACAAAGATTACCGCGCCGCTGAGTAAAGAGCTCCGTATCATGTATCGTGACGCGGATAGAGCCGCATAGACAAGTTCCTGTCAGAACTTGTTCGAACTCTGTGATGGGGTGGTGTTTTCATGATGGCGCATTGTTAGGTGAAGAGGTGCGATGCGGATATGTTGACGTAACTCGAGCGCTCCTTAAAGGGCTATACTTATAAGTACCGTAGTTATGTGACTTAACGACTAGCCCCTTGCTCTTGTGACCCACGAAGGGCGCGAGGAGAAAAAGCTTCTTACCTTACTATTCCTACCCCTCACTAACTGACCGTAGTAGATTAGTCATATGTTCCGCACGGAACGGCCCGGACCTCTCTCCAAGCCATTATCATTTCTCCTATCGGAGGCAGATCGCCGTCGATCAAGACGGCTTCCATGATGTTAGAACTCCGGATTAGCATCTTACCCTAATCCCGGACAGGGGCTCTGAGCCTTTCCAGGGCGAGAAGACAATATTATCGCTCTTAGCGATAGCGAGCAGATGACGCCTACACTCATAGAGCCTGCGAACTGCGGTGTGCTATAGTTGTCGGACGAAGAGGTTTCCATGCCTAACGCTTGTGGAGTTAAAAACGATGGAAGGAATGTGAAGGCCTAATGATATTATTATTTTAATAATAAAGTACGTCATAATTTCTACGCGGCATTGATAGTGACATTTAGAATTGGCGATGAAGGGTTATATCGAGGGCAGTGGACTCACAAGCATATCAAATTTTAGGTGTATGTGAAATAATATTATACTACATAGAAGAGTTACACATTATTGTAAAAACAATAAAACATTAAACGTTTCATCATAAATCCCAGATTTCTTCCGGCGCAAATTCAAGCCCCCAAGGCGTCATATTCCCTCATTAACTCCTCTATATGAAGATCCACCCCCGAGATCTTCGCCTTGATCGCCGCGATCTGCGAAGTTATGCCACCCCGCCACAACGTGAGCTCGCCGAGTCGCTTCATGGCACTCGCGGCGGTCATCCCTGAGTACCTGGGGCAAACTCTGGCCCACTCGCACCGTTCGATCTTCCCCGCGCAGTCAGCCAACTCGCGCTGCAAGGACTCGAGCTTGCGTAGATACGCAAGCTTTTGGCCGACGAGTTCGGCCCGGGGAGCGCCTGGAAGACACATTTGCGGGCCAATGTCGACCCCGATGATGGCGGTGAGGCGGTGGTACAGCGCCTCGGTGTGCTCGGCCAGGTCCATGCGGTCGTTGAATTCGCCGTTCAACTCCGACGGGGAGCATGTTTCCTGAGCGATGTCCCAGGTCGACTCGAGGCGCCGTTCACGTTCGGCGGCGGCTTGAAGCTCGCGACTCAGGTGAATCTCGTCTTCAGCCCGCGCGATTTGGCCAAGCGTGGCCATGTGTTCGGCGCTGACTGGTACTTGCTTTTTGTCCCTGGGGCGGCGTGTGAATATGCGGGCCAGTCGACGTGCGATACTGGCTGTCGGAGTGGATGACTGGAGCGCAGCATATTCCGGGGGCGATGGCAAGCATTCGTAGCTCGGGAGTTCCGAGTCTACGGGACCGTGTTGGTCGGGTTGAGTGGGGACATCAGCCAAGAGAGACTCCTGGCTGCTGCTGAACTGCTGGTAGGCGCTACATATAAAACGAGAGTCAGTACAATCAACAAAAATTGACAGTTATGGAGGGTTGAGAAGTTTGCAAAGGTAGCGGAAGTAAAATATGACTAACCTGACCCGATGGAAAGCACTTCCGATGTGAACGAGGAGTCGGTGGAACTGCATTTTGGATAAAGACGATATTGATTATAATTAATGGTGTTAGATGAAATAGTTGATAGATAAAAATCGAATGATTGATAGATGATAGTCAACTACTCAACTGTGATGGGGGAGAAGGAAACAGAGAGAGAGAGACAGAAAGGAGACGAGACGCGTTTTTATAGACAACACAGAGCATACACAATGCGTGGCCATTTCATGCGTGGTCCTCACAGCAATAATAAAGTTGCTGATTCCAAACTTAGATGTAGAAACCTTGTTCACTTAGCTCCGAAAGTATGCGCAATGCAGATACGGCTATGTGAGTCAGGAGGCACTTGAAGCCAAGAGGAAGTCTATTCGGGCGACAATAAACATGAATTTGTCCATGTTAAAGCTCACAGCAGGCGGCACAAGATGAAAAAGAATATGGAGTAGTCGCAAAACAAGTTCAGTAAGTAAATTATTGAAAGGTAAATGCTCAAAGTTTAATTGTTGCCCAGCCACTCAATTAAACTCCTGCAGCACATTGCTGGGCCGGCCCGCGACCATATACTCGTTCACATGAATCCCGCATCCAATAACTGGGGAAGCGTAAGGACCTTGCATATAAAACATTTCATCGAGACATAATGCTGTGATTATTATTTGCATATCTAAGTAGCTATATAAAACCTCTACCAGATAGGGCCTATGCATCAGCGGTGGGACTAAACAAATGAGCAAGATCTAAAGGATTCAATGATGTACTTGAGGGTCCGCGTAACGGGCGATGTGGCACGGTACTTGAATCTTTCACATGCATTCTTGAAGGCACCCGTGGTTGGAATAATCGCGGCACGGGCTCGAATTGTCACGAGGGACCGTAGAAATTTAATATTTAGTTTGGGAAAACTATATTCTCGGCTAGCAGGACAAAACCTTATCTAAAAGTAGGTTGAGAAATAAGCTTTGAATGTCTATAATTCCCATCAATGCCAAGATAAGCTATTAATTTGGACCTGGAGAGTAGAACTACTGGCCAAGGGGTGTACATCGAGTATAGTAGCATTACACGATCACTCGGGGTGAGTGCACACGCTCGCGCTGCTTCTGGTTGATCAATTGAAGCAACTTATGTCGAACAGCTCGTTGATGAATCGTTACTATGCTGCGCAGATAGTGTAACAAGTATTAATATAGTGATGATTGCCGCATATAGCATTTCAGCTTTAGTATGTAAAGGGATACCTTATTCAGCGAGGCAACTGCTATATATACTATTAGGGGTATGAAATCTGATCCTAAGCCTTTTAATCTAAGATAATTATCAGGTTTTGAGACTACATTTGTCATAGGAATGGATCATTATATGTTGAATCATGAGTCAATTGGTAAAACACAACGTAGCAAAGACGGACCCCTGAATCTTTTTTCCTATATGATTATGATACGAGAAATACCTTGGTTTTTCTTTCAATTTCTGTGTACTAAATAATCCGCAGTGCCGCCAGGCTGATTTATCTTTCGAGACCTAGTTGTGAATCACAACTTGTGAATGACTTATTTTCCTCAGTTACTCATTATGTAAGCCAACTAGAACTGGAGCTGTAAGAGATCCTTGAAAGTCGTGACTTAAGGTTTGAGAGTACTAATTCGAGGTATCAAAAGTCTTATATAGTTGTGAGTCTTTGTTTATACCTGGCTTGTCGTTTTTGACTTTATAACTTCTTTAAAAGGGAGTTGATACAGATATGCTTTCATACATGGCAGTCGATCTAATGTAAAGTTGTGCAGCCAAGAGTTCATTCGAAGCAATTGTAGGCCCTACCGCAGCTCGGAGCACCCAAGGTTAGGCCACCTATTTAGATATCCTCGTTACCGAATCTGATTTATGGGAGTGTTGTATACACATCCGGGTCACATGAATTTGTGGTAAGTTTGATCCCAGCCAAGCTCTACAGAGGATAACGACCTTCAAAAGCCCTCTGAGGGGACATGACACTTGCCCGATCATCGCTGTTATGTTTGGTATCTCAACAAACATGAAGAGAACACCCGAAAAATTAGAGTAATGTACTAGATAGTCGTTTGAAATGAATATTTTGTTTCTAGTCATTATTCTTAATAGACTGATAGAAAGTGCTGTGTATTATAATGCGAGATTAAGATTGTGCGTATCCTTCCCGGATATTAAAGATATCCCGGCCAACTGCCACTTACACAACGATTTAGGAAATAAAGGCTGTGGACAGCTTATATATAATTTCCAAAATGTATATCCTACTGTATCCTCTCCTCGGGCCTTAATTATGTCATCCAATCATCCACTGTCACGAGGACTAGAATACCAGGACTTGAAAGGATATTTAGTATTGCAATAATCGTTTTAGGCGTTAAGTAGGCCATAAAGGTCTAAGTTCCTCCCTTGAGCTCAGGCGGCGAAGCTAGGTTGATATGCACAAATACTAGCCCGGATAATTCAGGTCCGTATCCTTATTATCGTGGGCTTGAGCAAACACGAAAATAGCGATCATAATATCCAGGAACAGGCACGGGTAGCCGAATATATGAAACACTGCTTCAGATTACTGACACAATATCGTCAACCCGACCCTGGTATACGGGTAGTTGTATTCCCATCCATACCTAGGCGCCAGTCAGTCTGTGTGACATCCAACCCAGGCGAAATCCAAAACAAATTATCGTTGATCTCACGCCACACGTCCGCCCGGACAGTGGAGAAAGGGTAAGACAACATACTCGTACCGGTTACACGAGGAGGATCCTCCTTCCCTCACTCACCAGGCCTTTGCCTTGTCTTATTTCACAATAAGCAGTCCGTCTTGAAACCAGGAGGGCTCGTAGCTCAGGCGGTAGAGCGCTCGCTTTGCATCCACTGACTCCAAACCAAAAAGCTTCGTTTGTGTTTCTTGTTAGAAGTGACAACCGCTGGATCGTGTTGATTGGTTTGGGAATAGGACAGAAGGAGTTTGCGAGAGGTCTAGGGTTCAAATCCCTACGGGTCCAAAGGAATGTCTTTTTGTCACCTTGCTCTGACTTTTTTTTTTTTTTTTTTACTTTTTTTTATGTACGATAGATAGATAGATAGGTATGTATTGCATCCTTTGTGACTATTTACTGCACGAAGAAGATTTATTATTTGTTTTCAGTTGAAGAAATGTTGAAAATGCGGCTTCACTCCGAGGTCAACATAAGTTTTAGGCATCTGTTCTTGATCAATCGACAGACTACAACAGTACTTAATACAATATTGAAGCCCTCACCTGACGGCGTGTGACAATAGATGCGAGGATAATTTGTGACAGGAGCTTGTTTATTTGTACACAACAAGAGCTTGGAATAATAATAGATTTAATTTAACTATAGGTTATCTTCTTATGAATGTGCATGAGAAGATCGTCAATTTACTTCCAGCTCTGATTCAGCTCTCCCTTGCATTGCAGCCCAGCTAAAGTTCTCACGATTAATAGCTGCTATGCCCTTTTTTATATGCCTCGAAGAGGCGCGTCTAGGTTTTCTGGTGTATCAATAGTGGCAGTTAATTGAGCGAATCCAGATATTATAATATGTAAAGATAGGAGTTCCGGCTCACCGCTAGGTAATGGGTAATAGCATAATGAAAAGAAATATACTGAATACTTAGATAGATACCTGGAGATTTTCCAGTCGTCGAACTACGTCGATTTATCTTTCAATCGCATAACTGAAAATAGACCCGGCTAAGTGAGAGAATAACGACCTTTCAAATATCCTGATGACTAATAGTATAGTTATACACATTACTCCTGAAAAGTCCAGATGCCATATTATGCAAGATGCTACAGCTCAACTTAACATAAGAATTGGCCCATGTCCATGCTTAGGCAATTAACGTGAAACCATCACCGCGATGATTAAACACAACAATCTACGAGCATCGCCTGTAGAGTAGAGTATTAAAAATGCCGAAATACTTACAATACACATTCTACGATCATTCCGCTAAGCAAAATTCAGCTGCCGAGCCGTAAGAACCTACACTTGCCCTAAGCTGATTAGCAAGAAAGGGGGCATTCAGCACGAAGAGATTAGCAGAGGCATATCTGTGATGCGACTGATTAGCGAAACTCCATATTGAAGAGACGAGGGACTATCAGAAGCGATTACACAGTGAGACACGAGACGCCACTACATCCTCGTTTACTAGCTGACTCAAAACGGAGGAGCACATACCACGCTACGAGAAGACCGGAGAGGAACAACCGATACCAAGGAATAAGGGGGGCACAAAGAATTGGAAATGTCATGTAGTGGTATTTATTTGATAGTGGTGGTGGTGGTGGTGATGGTAAAGAGGAAGCTCCCGCAAGCAAATCGCCGAGAACCCGTGTTCCACTTGTGATCCAGACAGACAAAGACAAGAGAGCAAAAAACCCCCATTTTGCCCCGAGCCCCATCCATCCGATGAGAATTACTATAGTTTACACGTGCTGGATGATGATGATGAAAAACGCCGCATACACATTCTATAACCAACGAAGCCTCTTTCCGACTTTGTTCCTGTTGTTGTTGTATCGCACACTTTTTCCCTTCCTTTCTCTTCGTTCTACGTCATCTTCATACTAATTCATCTCCCTGCTCATTCCTTCATACACGTAGTAGTTTGGCGGCATAGTTCTCGATGACCTGCTCGGTAGGGAAACTTAGGGTCTCGAGGCCCTGGGCGTAGGGGGTCGGCACCTCGGCACCGGTGATACGCTGGGCGGGAGCGTCGAGGTAGTCGAAACCGTACTCCATCGTCGTGGCAAGGATCTCGGCACCCATACCAGCGAAAGGGAAACCTGACTCGACTGAGATCAGGCGGCCGGTCTTCTTGACAGACTTGATGATAGTCTCGACGTCGAGAGGCTTGACGGATCGCAGGTTGATAACCTCAACCTCGACGCCGTACTTCTTCTTGAGGGCCTCGGCGGCGACCATGCACTGGCCGACGGTGCGTGACAGCGACACAAGGGTCAGGTCCTTGCCCTGGCGCTCGACTTTGGCCTTGCCGAAGGGGATGACGAAATCATCCTTCTGGGCGGCCTCGGACATGGGGAAAGAAACACCGTACATCAGCTCGTTCTCGAGGACGACGACGGGGTTCGGGTCGCGGATGGCGGCCTTCAGCAGGCCCTTGGCATCCTCAGCGGACCAGGGGGAGACGACCTTGAGACCGGGGATGGAGCCGTACCAGGCGCTGTAGTCCTGGGAATGCTGGGCGGCGACACCGGCGGCAAAGCCGTTGGGGCCACGGAAGGTGATGTTGCAGGGTTGGATGCCACCGGACATGTAGAGGGTCTTGGCGGCGCTGTTGACGACCTGGTCAATGGCCTGCATGGCGAAGTTGAATGTCATGAACTCGCACTGCGCAGCGTGGTCGAACGTAGTTAGTGTATGATCACCTTTGCCGTATGCATACCGACCACCCGCACAAAGTTGGCATATCAGAAGCGGCGGATTGGGAAAGGCGGTAGATCAACTCACGATAGGAACCAGTCCACTCAAGGCAGCACCGACAGCCAGACCGCAGAAACCACTCTCAGTAATGGGGGTATCGATGACTCTCTTGTCGCCAAACCGATCTAGCAGCCCCTTGGTGACCTTGTAGGCACCATTGTACTGAGCGACTTCTTCACCCAGGATGAAGACCTTCTCGTTCTGCTCCAATTCCTCAGCCAATGCCTCGTTCAGGGCCTCGCGCACCGTATACTCCTTAACTCCCTTGGCATCGGCAAAGGTCCTCCGCTGCGACAGGGCGAATGACGAGGGTGAGGCGAATCGGGGTAGGGCTCGCGGGGCGGCGGTTGCGAGGCGGGCAGAGGCGGCTAACCTCGTAGCCGGACGAAGATAGCGCGACATATTGAATTGAGCGAGGACGGACGGGACACGGGACGAGACAAGATGAGACGGGAGTTGAAGGGAAGAAGAGAGGGATACGAAGAATGGAAGTAATGGTCCGGTCCGTCGACGGGTGACAGGGCCTTGGGTTGAGAGGGCGGATGGGGTCGAAGAGGGATAGGAAGACAAGAGGTTGATTGATGGTGGAAGATGGGGATTATGAGAGTGATTTTTTTGATTAGCGATTTAGCTTAGCCTAGCTCGCTCACTGTCAGCTTTTTGGGACTTCACCGAAGCGTTGTCGCGGCTGCTGTCCCAACTTTTTTTTCTCTCCCGTCAAACCAAACCGCTAGCTTGTTGGGCTGGTATCATCCCGCCTAGGCCTACAATGGCTTAGCCCTTACCTTTTTGAGCTAAGCGTCTAGGTTTCCTTATCACCTTCCCTGCCATCAAGGGCCCTTCCTACATCGGAACCTAATTGAATACCGCCGGTGCAACCCCGAAAACTTACTATATACAGATCTATATAGGTCTTCAAACCCCCGAATATGCTGTAACCTACCTGCCGAACTATTCTTAATATTTATATCCCTCCAGTATACCAATTGAGTCCCAATTTCTCATACACGAGAAGCGAGCCAATTTGAAAGAGCGATGAAATACGGGAGTGGGCGTTTATACATGAGAACGGAATCGCTCTCAAAGCACCGGACCCGCTTCCTCCGTTGGGGACGCTCCGACGATGGAGTAAGCATGTCAGCAACCCGATACGATACGCACACGCGCATCAAAAGAATTTGGTCAATTGTCACATATTGTTGGGTGCATATATTGAAAATAGAGGGAAATTTTGCATATATGTGCTGTCATTAGATCATCTGATATATATAAATCCGCGATATGTAATTTCTCGTTGCGAGATGGCTGCTTCTAATTCTAGATGGCGCTCCTCGTCTTTTGTAGGTGGTGAACTCAATGCGGCCATGATCGAACGGCCATGCTTCATGCGCTCCGTATTGGCTTGCCTTATGATGCCTTGGCCCGCCGCTTGACCATTAAGTATTATTATGTAGCCGGGTATGCTGATCACCTGCCTTTTGACGACCCCGTATTTTCAAGGCCGTGGCTATGCCCCACCACGCCGGCTCGGGGACCCCTATTCTATGCAGCCCCCCTTTTTTTATTCTGGCTTGTTCCGTCATCATCATCGTCATCAAGTCTCGTCTCATTGCTCGGGCTTCTTGCCCACCATCAGGTACATAGGTGTGAACAGGTGCTTCTCGGCACCGGCCACGAGGCAGTCGGCCGCCTCGCCCAGACTCTCGGCCGTCTTCTTGGTGCCGGCGGGTGCGAGCTTGGCCTTCTCGAGGAGGCCGGCGAAGTTGTGCGCGAGGAAGCGACCCCACCACGTCATACGCGCGATTGTGAAGGCGTCGAACATGGACTGCATGTACTTCCACCGGCCAGCGAGGGGCCAGTACCAAGGGATGGGGTCGGGGCGGTCCGCGAGATCTTCGTGGTGGAGCAGGTCGAAGCCGGCAATCTTCATCGCCTCCAATCCCTCCGAGATCTTGACCATGTTGGCGATGCCGTCTCCTTGCTCGATACCGAGACGGATCTTGCGGTGCTCGATGTTGTCGTTGTCGTAGTCATCTGTCATCAACCATTCGTACACGCCAAACACGCCGCCGGGCTTCAACACCCGGAAGATCTCGCTGTAGACACCGGCCAGCTTGGGGGCGTGAACGGTGGCCTCAATCGCGTAGACGGCGTCGAAGCTGTTATCAGGGAAGTCCATTTGCTATAGCGGGCTTGCGTCAGCAGTTTCTCCAAGTGCGGGCACATAGGCATGCGACTTACCATGAAGTCCCCCTTGACAAAGGCAAGCTGGTTGGATAGACCCTCTTTGTGGGCATAGTGGGTAGCCCGCTGGATCTGGTAATCGTTGTTGTTGAGACCGGTGATGTGTGCACCGGTGAACTTGGCAATTTCACGGGCCGGTCCACCCACACCGCAACCAACATCGAGCACCTTCATGCCCTCCTTGATGCCGATCTGGTGGGCAAGATAGTGTTCATGTCGGGCAATGGCCTGGTAGAAGCTCTCTCCAATCGAGTATCGACAAAAGTGGAAGGACTGGCCCCATC